TTTAAAAAAAATTCTATAGGTAGGAGACAGAGTCACCCTAAATGTTCGAAAATTTAAGGTGGCTCTGAACAATAACAACGATCTGTGAATTTTTTGTGCGATGTACTGAAGTACGTTTTTCGATTGGAGGAGAGCGTGTCATGTGTCATGGGTCAAAAATCACTAACTCCCTACGTAAAGGGCGAACAAAACTCAATACTGAACTGAAATTTTTTGTGTGTGCCAACCGGGGTCAAGCAAATAACCTTTTTGCAGTTTGTTCGCTGGTTGAGTCTACTTAAATATTCGTAGTCAGTTGCGATGAAGATTTCTCTGAGCAAAGGTCTCTTAATTTTATTCTGGTCGTCCTTTGTTTCATTACAATAACACCGACATAGGCATAAGAAAAGAACGCTTGTGCTCAGCTCATGCCAGGTGTCCGTCCTCATATGCCTGCGTTACATGTAATTACTTTCTCCGGCCCAGATCCTCACGGTCAATTTATTCGAAGTTTTAGGTACACCAGCGGGAAAGTGTAGGTCTCACCGAATAACTAGAAGATGTCGATTGCAAGTCGTAAGAATGGAATATCTTCCGAGTATCTTTCAGCAAGTTTGTTTGGTACAGAATTTGTTGCACCATCACGACGACATTTCCGGCAAATCGATTTCACGAAACAAATTACGGGTCACGTAAAGCTACGTAAAATAAATGCATTTCGATTGGTTCATGCATTGAAAGGAACCAATGAGAAATATGCATTTAAAGAGGATTACATGTCAACTACCTAGCTTTGGAGTAGAGGTTTTGTTGGACAGTCCCGCTTGACGGCTGCCTCAGTCAGTAGTTTATTATTAACGTCGATCGTTCCAGAAGCTAAATAACACCATAATGAGTGGGGACGTGGAAGAGAATGTATCAATTTTCCTTTCTTTTAGTAATCTTGGTGTGAAGATCGATGATCGACAAATTCTTCAAAATGTGAGCGGGAAAGTTCACCCTGGTGAAATGTTGGCTGTAATGGGGCCCAGTGGTAAGTGCATTGTCCTGTACTCTGTTCCTTCTTCTCATTTACCAAAAAATTTAATTATAAAGAGCGAAAATGTCAGAGTCATTAAATTAGTCTTGCCAATGAGGTTTTGGTTCCTTCTTCGCCATAATAACTGCAAGGGCTATAATTTACACTTAATTAATGGTCATGAGGGAAACAGTTAGTTTATTTGGTTTTCCAACTGTTTCCCAAGGGACTAGTAATTTTAAAGTGTTTTGTTACTAGATAGCTGGAGTTTATTGTAAAGTAATGAGGCACGAAGAAGACAAAGACCCCTACTTATCATTCAATGCATTTTTTCTTCCTTTTCATTGGCTGAGAGCCGACCACGTAACCTTCAAATAACTGCTTACAATACAAATAATGGTCTGCTCATGCATAGTACCATATTCAGCTCATACGTGATTGTAACCTTGATCTCTGGTGAAAAATGGCAGATTGCTTCTCAGAATTGAATTGTCAAAGAGTGATGTAAATAAGAAAACAAATTTGGTGATCGAGCAATAAAATAGTTATTGAACTCGGTTATTGCAAAATATCGTTTTTTGTCAGTGTCTCGCTCTTGCAGATCAATTATTTGCCGACGCCGAAGACTGAGGCAAATAATTGATCTGCTCTCCACTGTCCAATCGTGATATTTTGCTCAACCTCATCCAATAATAATTATTGTTAAGTAATTGCTGCCATTGCCCGGTGACCACTGAAATCAACCAATAAGAGTGCCCACTTGATTCAACTAAACTCCTGTAAGATAAATCCACCACAAGTTCAAGTAACAAGCGGGCAAAAACTTTGTACCAAGATTATTTACATCGTATTGGAAACTTCTCTGCAACTGCTTTGAATATCTTCTCAAAAGAAATTATTTCTAACAACACCAAAATAACACAATGTCAAAAACAAATTTTGAAGTGCATATGAAAAACTTGAAAGTACTGGTGAAATGAAACTGATGATGAAATTTTACCTGTGTTGGTTCAATTTCTCTGAACTTTGAAATATTATTTATTTTCTGGAGCTCTCTGATGGGAAATTGTTTTTGGTGTTATCTCTGGCAACTGTGTATATCTTTAGCTTTTAGAAAATACAAAAAGGACTGTAATTACTTAAAGTTATTCTGGTACAAGATTTTTGCCCATTATTTAAGACTGGAATTGCTCAATTTCCCATCATATTTTGTCTTAATTAAGCCTATTTTATAAACTTTACAATCACGAATGTAGATACTCATTACAATTGCAGGCTTGAGCTGCATTTACATGACATTGTACTTCTAAGCGTAATATTATTACATGTTATACATGAACATAAATTTGTATGCAGTGCAAATGTCCACCAACCATGCCAACACAGGAACAGAAGATATAAAGCAGCTGAGAACTAAATCTGAGGTGATTCAAATCCTGCCTAGGCCAGGATAATGGGTAGCATGGAAGACTGAGAAATCTTTCCCTCATTCTCCTTCTTCCTTGCTTTTTTGTCTACCCTACTATACCCCGTCCCTGTTTATGCTGCAGCTCAGGCTACACTGAGGTCAGAGATACTTTCTTTGCTTAATCTTTGGTCCCACATTTCTTATCTAAGGCTTGAGTGCTTCAATTTGCAGGGAGAAAATTACTTGGGTTATTTTCAAACACTTTAAGTTTCCACAGAGTTATTGATTTTACTACCACTAGTGAAAAGTCTGTGTATTCTGTTCATGCGTTAAGGTGTGCAAAAAAGCACTGCTGTGGGTCGTGCATTTATGAGGTAGAGCTTTCAATTGGTGTGTTCTGAAAATGAACAATGGTGAAGTTCATCTTTTGTTTTTAATAAATTGTAAAAATGTTTTAAAGTGTATTTTATTTTACATAAATTTACATAAATGAATCATGGCTACTTTTAAGGTATCACTGCAGCTGAGTGCATCTTGAGACTGATACTATAACTGATTATATTGGTCTATGCTCAGTCGATATATACATGACTTTTGTATGTACATATCTTTTCAGATGTTTTTGGGAACATTAGGGAAATAAATATGCGCAGGCTCTTTAGCTCATACTACATCATAACTTGGTTGTCCGCCTCTGGTGTAGAAGCGAGGTTTTCTTTTTTTTCTTTTTGTAGAATTATACCATTTTCAGAGATGCCAACCTAAAAAAATCAAATTCTGGCAGATCACCAATTTTACCTTGCCTTTTTTGACTCTAAGTGGAGCTCCGGCAGTTAGACCCCCAAAAATCATTGCATTGAATATCCAAAATGTTCCCCCCCAAAATGCCAAAAAGTGGCTAAAATACGTCTGTAATTTATTGGTATTCATTCGTATGGTCTGTGAGATTTAGTGACCAACTCGGAAGGTTGGGAGATCCACTCTGTATCTTGGAGACTCCCGGATATTCTAGTACTCACTGCTGACTTTCTATATATTGTCATTGTCTTGTTTAAGGTTCTGGTAAAACAACATTGCTTAACATTCTTGCTGGAAGATTGTCCCCAGAAGATGGTGAAATACTTCTCAATGGAACAAAAATAAACAAGAAACTGAAAAAGAAGATTTGTTATGTTTTACAAGAAGACATTTTCTTTACAAATCTTACTCTTCGGGAAACTCTTACGGTAAGCATGTCACAAATTACTGACAGAGACATCTTTCACAGATAAATATCTTCTAATGCTCTTTTACTGAATATCTGATGCATTTTACATCATATGGACAGTATGTCAATTATATAATTTAATTGCAGTCCTTTTGTTTATAGTGTTCTGCAATGCTCCGTCTACCTGATACC